ACACTCTTAATGTAAACTCATAACACTAAATGCTCTTTCAGGTAGATGTATTGAACCTGCTCTTAACATATGATAGGTTTCTATTATAAGCTGCCATTTTGAAACAACTTTTTTGAAAAAAAAATGAGATGGTAAGTATGCACCACTCTTTCCATATACTGCACAACGTACGTTGGCATAATTAGCAGAGAAGCTATAGACATTGCCTCGTCCACCATATTTTCCAGATCTTGCCCTCGTAGACTTCCACTTTTTTGGAAGTTCTTATATAAAAATTTCAAGTCTGATGAAGCAGTAAAGAGCGCCTTTAAACAGTTCACCTATTTTCGAGCAACAGGTGGAATATATTGTTGGGGCATGCGTTTCCATATTTTTATCTAAGAGAATGTAATCACTAAGTTTATTTTTTAATTTAATTATATTTATACCGTGCCGTGTAGTGGCGGTCAAGAATACCACTACCCCATATCCTCCCGTGGGTGTCGTAAAAGGCGACAAAGGGAAACAGGCAGGAGATGGGCAGCAGCATCTTCCTGATAATAGCCAAATTACAATAAAAAAACTGCGGTTGCCAACCCGCTCGCCAAGCGTGGCAACTATGGCAAATACCCCCCAATGATGAGAGCAACAAAAAAACGGCCCCCAGTCCCCGGCGGCCCCGCTATTCCTGGCTACGGTGGCGACCATGGTAACGGCGGGCCAGGGGGTGCTAAGAATCTCCGGTGGAGGTTCGGTTGCCACCTTAGACGACTCGACCTGGCAACGTACAACGCACGCACCCTGAGGACTGACGAGAAGATCGTGGAGCTGGAAGAAGAGATAGACAAGTTGCGCTGGCATATTATAGGATTATCCGAAGTCCGAAGAGAGGGGGAGGGCACGGTAATCCTCGAATCCGGCAACTTGCTCTATCACCGGGAGGGCGACCATCTGTCCCAAGGAGGTATCGGATTTATCGTCCACAAGTCTCTCGTTAACAACGTTGTAAAGATCGGGAGTGTGTCGACGAGGGTTGCGTACCTTATACTCAGAATCACCAAACGGTATTCGCTGAAGGTCATACAGGTTTACGCACCAACCTCGGCAAACCCCGATGGGGAGGTGGAGGAAATGTATGAGGATATCTCTAGAGCCATGCATTCCTCCAAAACCCAATATACGGTGTTAATGGGAGACTTCAATGCAAAACTAGGCACAAGAGAAAACGGTGAGCTGAAAGTAGGGAAATTTGGAATAGGGCAACGGAGCCCAAGGGGCCAGCAGCTGGCCGACTTCATGGAGAAAGAGGGACTCTTTATGATGAACTCTTTCTTCCAGAAGCGGCCCCACAGGAAGTGGACCTGGTCGAGCCCCGACGGTTCGACAAAAAATGAGATTGACTTCATTATGACGACCAGACGACAACTGTTCAGTGATGTCTCCGTGATCGCGAGGGTGAAAACTGGTAGCGATCACCGAATGGTTAATGGCACACTGAACCTAAACGTTAAGTTGGAGAGGTCTCGTCTAATGAAGTCAACGCTCCGTCCCCCTCGTGCTCTGTTCCAAAGTCCCGAAACCTTTCAGCTCGAGTTACAAAACCGTTTTCAGTGCCTAGAAGACTGCAATGAAGTGGACGATATGAATGACAAGCTCGTGGAAACTGTCCATGCGGTCGGAGCTAAGTTCTGCAAGACCCGCCGCAGAAGAACACAAAAACTCTCCGATCACACTCTTAATCTCATGGCTGTTAGACGGGAGATGAAGCTACATTCTTCAACAGACTTGACAGCATACAGGCATCTGAACAGACAGATCTCCAAATGCATGCGGCGGGACTTACGCAACTTCAATACAGCTCGTATTGAAGAAGCGATCGAGCGGAACCAAGGCTCCAAAGTCTTTGCCAGAGATCTGTCTGCCAGAAAGAGCCACCTGTCAAAGCTGAAGACAGAATGTGGCAGCATCGTTTCCGGGACACCTGAGATTTTGAGTGAGATTGAGAGGTTCTATGGGCAGCTGTACACGTCATCGTTGGAGCCACACGCAAGTGTGAGTAACGATCCAAGAGCGAGTCTCATCCGACACTATTCCGAAGATATCCCGGACGTCAGTCTGAGCGAGATTAGAATGGCTCTCCAGCACCTTAAAAACGGTAAGGCCCCAGGCGAGGATGGAATTACAGCGGAGCTTCTGAAAGCGGGTGGATGACCGGTACTTGAAGTCCTTCAGAAGCTCTTCAATTCCGTCCTCCATGGTGGCATTACACCGGAGGCGTGGAGCAGAAGTGCGGTGGTCTTGTTCTTGAAGAAAGGTGACAACGCTCTCTTGAAGAACTACAGACCGATTTCCCTTCTGAGCCGCGTCTACGTGCTGTTTTCGAGAGTCATTACGAATCGTCTCGCGCGCAGACTTGACGACTTCCAGCCTCCCGAACAAGCCGGTTTCCGAAAGGGCTTTAGCACCATAGACCACATACATACCCTTCGGCAAATTGTACAGAAGTCCGAAGAGTACAATTTGCCACTATGTCTGGCGTATGTGGACTATGAGAAAGCCTTTGATTCCGTCGAAATTTGGGCGGTGCTGCAGTCCCTTCAGCGGTGCCAAGTTGACTGTCGGTATATCGAAGTGTTGAAGTACTTGTACAGTAGGGCTACGATGGCTATCCGAGTACAGAACCAGAGTACGAAACCTATCCAATTGCAGAGAGGTGTAAGACAGGGTGACGTCATATCCCCGAAACTCTTCATCGCTGCATTGGAAGACGTTTTCAAGCTTCTGGACTGGAAAGGATACGGTATCAACATCAATGGCGAGTACATCACTCACCTTCGATTTGCCGACGATATAGTCCTTATGGCAGAATCGCTGGAGGACCTAAGCACTATGCTCAATGACCTCGATAGTGTTTCCCAACGGATAGGTCTTAAGATGAACATGGACAAAACAAAGATCATGTTCAATGTCCATGTCACACCTATACCGGTAGTTGTTGGGAGCACTAAGCTCGAAGTTGTTGACGAGTATGTTTACCTGGGACAAATAGTCCGACTAGGTAAGTCCAACTTCGACCGAGAGGTCAATCGACGGATTCAACTCGGCTGGGCAGCGTTCGGGAAGCTACGACACATCTTCTCGTCAGACATACCTCAAAACCTGAAAACGAAATTGTACAACCAGTGCGTGTTGCCAGTGATGACTTATGGAACTGAGACGTGGTCCTTCACTGCTGGCCGTATGAGGAAGTTCAATGTTGCTCAGCGAGCTATGGAGAAGGCTATATTCGGGGTTTCTCTGCGTGATAGACTTAAAAACGAAGATATCCGCAGTAGAACCAGAGTTACCGACGTAGCCCAACGGATTAGTACGATGAAGTGGCAATGGGTCGGCCATTTAGCTTGAAGAACCGACTACCGATGGAGAAGAAAGGTTTGCGAGTGGCAGCCTCATCCCCCACTAAATGGAGTGACGACCTGGTAAGACATGTAGGAAGTCAATGGAAACAGGTGGCTCAGGACCGTGCTTTGTGGCAATCCTTGGGGGAAGCCTATGTCCAGCAGTGGACTTGTGATGGGCTGTAATGATGATGATGATGATACTAGTAAAAATCTGAAAAGTATAGTCCAGTCCAGTCAGTCATAATATGTCTGTAATAACAGCATAATATTAGTTTTAACTTGTATAGTTTATTTCACAGAACACAATTACCCTCTACCGAGAGGTCTATTTCATATGTCTATGGTCTATTTCAATGAGCTATGAATAGCTTGCTACATATATATTTATCTATGGCTATGAATAAGACTATTTTTTTCGATTTTTAGATCTATGGTCTATTTACATTATCAATGGTTTTCGTCCTGTAGTCGAGTGGTGGTTATTATAGCGCGCTGTCTTTCCACAGCACAGCTATGGCGCTATTGCGCTATGAAATATGAATATCGCGCGATAGCGCTCGGCGTCGGCCAGCGTGGAAACTATTTCTAGCAGCGGCGCTAGCGCCCGGTTGCTTGCTAGTCTCGCGTGCACGCTGTTGTGTTGTGAGCGGACGTGTTACGCAAATTTTATCTAACTGCACGCTATTCATCGCGCATGACCTAGTTTAGTGTTAGACGTTGGTTATTTAGTGCATACTATATATTAATAATAGATTAGAAGACTGTTTGAAAACAAATTAGAATACACTATTATATAACTATGATTCTGTGTGTGTAAATAAGTTAGGGTATGACATGTAAATATTAAAATAAAAGATTGTTTAAAAACAAATCTATTTTGACACGATTATGTGACTGTAATTAAGAATTATGATTATATGTGTGTAAAGAGTTGATTTTTGTATATACAATCAATGAACTTTAAAATACGCCTATAATCGATTTATAATTAACATTTATGTTAAAATAACGTTTACATCAATTATAGACAGTCCTAAGCCTGAAAAGTATGAAGGAGAGTTCATTGGTTTTTCTTTACTGCTTTACGTATTAATAAATTATATTCTTATATAGTACGCGGTATGTTCAACGAACAAAATGTAATGTAACGTACTACGAAATTTAGCGTGCTGCAAGAATTAACTCGCCTGCCGGCCGCCCACGCGCTTTTTTATAAATAGCGCGCTATAACATACCGTATTTGATAACGCACTATAAATTTATAGTTTATGGTCTGTAGCGCGCTATTGATTTATAGCCGTTTTGAACAACTCTACTGTAGTCCTTTATAGGACAGTTACTTACTCTTTGTGGTAAACGTACATATTATGTCATAGGCTAGCCGCACACACGCAATAATATTGACAATAAAGTACGTATTGTCAATAATATTGTGCGTGTGCGGCCTGTATTGCGATATTGTTCAATAATATTGTTGATATCCAGAAATTCTGATTTTGTCTCGTCAATATCGGGGGGAGGCAGGGGTATTGTCAATAATATTGCCGTTTGCGGGCGCGCGGCAATATTTTAGTTGAGGAAAAGATTTCAAGGAAGGCGGACGTTCGTTTTTTATTCAAAATGGAGGACGAAAACAATGTTGATATTAGTATTCTCACGCAAAATCAATATTTGTCAATATTTATTAAAACATGGGAAACTTATCCAGAATTATGGAATACATGTTGCGAATCATATCGCGATAAAGTAAGGAAAAATAATGCGTTTGATAAGTTGCTCGATATTTATAAAAAAATGAAACCAAATAGCACGAGAGAAGACGTCAAGAAAAAATTAAATGCCCTACGAACAAATTTTCGGAAAGAGTTAAAGAAGATTCACAAATCGAAATCATCAGGAAAGGGAACCGATGAGGTTTACGTCCCGTCTGCGTGGACGTATTATGAATTGCTGTTTTTAACAAATGATGAACAACCAATAAAGAAAACTATGGAGGTTAGTTTATATTTTTTAATAAATTTATTAATTACTCTCCGTAGGTTAGTACAAAAAACTTAGATTAGGTATTTAAACTACAAAAGTACTGACAATAATTGTCTCTTATTATTTTAGCATTTATAGTTGCATTTCTATTTTGAGTAGACTGTAGATTAGTTATACTGACTGATGGTGATTCCTTTTCTTGGTTTAAATAAAGGGAAGCGTTTTCTTTAATTAAAAAGTTGTGTAAGTAACAACAGGTTAAAGTCATTTTCGTTGCTTTGTCTGGTTCTAGATTTATAGCTTTTTGAAAAATACCAAAACGGATAGCCAAGATACCAAAAGCACACTCAAGCGTTGATCGAGCCCTCGATAATTTTTGATTGAATATCAGCTCATTAGAGCTGCAGTTTTTCTGTGAGTATGGCTTCATCAAATTTGGGCCCAAAGCGAACGCTTCATCAGCCACAAATACATAAGGAAATAAGTGTGTCATGTTTGAAAAATTAATTGGGTTAGGCAAGTTAAGTAGACCTTGTTCGTAAGATTGCCAAAATTTTGAATAGAACAGGACTCCACCATCAGATATCCGACCATTGATACCAACATCAACCATCATAAATTCTTTACGAGCATTTACTAAAGCCAATAAAATTATACTATGGAATCCTTTATAATTAAAGTAACGTGAGCCTGCATTTTTGGGCATAATAATCCCCACGTGCTTGCCATCTAGCGAGCCTAAGCATGTAGGGAATCCATGAATGCGTCCAAAATCATCGGCCACTTCTCTCCACTCTTGCTGTGATGAAGGTGTCTAAAACAATAAAAGAAATAAACATTATCATAACTTTTATTAACATTTTATTTACTTGTCTTTATATATTACAGGAAGACAAAGAAAATGATCAAGACCAATATAGCTATTCGATTAGCTCAATGGATCCACCTCCAACTCCAGTATCGGAAAATAAGAAAAGAAAAAAGGAAAATGACCAGCAAAACCTTTTACAGAGGACTTTATCGTTTTTGGAGAAGGATTCTTCTGATAATCAAGAAGAATATCATCTTGCCAAAGTCTGGGCCGCTAAATTGACAAAACTGGAGTCTACACAAAAACTTTTTGCGGAAAAGGCAATTAATGATATTTTATTTGAGGCACAACTTGGAAAATTAAACAAAAACTCAGTGAAAGTTAATGAGCATGTACCATATACTTCATCGCCTTTGCTGCCTAGACAGTCACTATATCATCCCAGAGTAAACTATATTCCATCACCTAGTCAATCACCAAGCACACAAGATTCAATTTTGAGATACAATTTAACACCTTCGCCACATTCTATATATAACAATGAACATAATATTGATAATACTATTACTATGAAACCTTCACAGATATTGTCCAAGACTCAAAGTCACCATCAACCAATTGTAACCACCGGTATTCCATCTCAAATAATATTAAGGCATCCACTGACACGATTGCAACAGTTTGGGTATGGTCCACAAGACACAATATCACAAGAAAATAAACAAAATAATAATATAACTTCTAAGGTTATAACATTTGAAGGCGACGTACATGCCAAGTATACTCCAAAAGAAGATATTTCTAATTTTTTTCAGTCCTAATAAGTGTTTTGTGAATATATTAATAAAAACTACAATTTATTACCAAGTACTACTTGTATTAATAAAAGGATTATAATATTTTATTTGTTTTAGTTCAAATCAAAAACAAAGTGTATTTATTGCAAAAAACAGCAAAATACACATACATAGCATTGATAGTATAATTATTATTATCTAAGTATCTAGTGATTACCAAATACATAGAAGATTGCAAGACGTAAATTAACGTGTTACAAGTGTCCAGAACTGCTCCGCTTATAGCCCTTGGGGATAATAAAGTTGAATACTTCAAGTCTTCAAAACTTCTGCCAGTCGCTAAAAAGCGTAAAGTAACTGCCAACTTTTCTTCAGGCGTTAGCGATTTTCTCATGTGTGTATCTTTTTTCTTTAAATAAGGTGAAACTAAAGATAATAGTTTTTAAAAGCTGCTATCTCTCATTCTCATATAATTTTTGAAATCATTTTCTTCTGTAACTCGTAGTTCATTTATTAGATTAAAGTGATTTAACTCGGCTTTTTTTCTCATCCAGTCCTTAATCCATCGTTTCTTTCTTGATTGCCTTTTCTTAGTTAGTAAAATTAATGCAATACTCAATGCAACGCCTTTTTTCTTTCTATCCATTATATTAAACGTGCACACATGAATCTAGCTGCAGAGCGACTAAGTCAGATTGTACCATGAAAAATTGCCAATAATATTGCATAGTGTGCGGGACCATATATTGATGAAGATTTTTGACAATCTTGCATTGACAATATTATTGTGTGTGTGTGCGGCTAGCCATAGATTACTGTAAACGTAGTGATTATATTCTCTTTGCATTACTGTATATTTACTAGAGACCATAGATAAATAAATATGTAGCAAGCTAACTAGAGACTAGAGATTATATTCTCTTTGGGTCATGGTTTTGGAACTCATCAATTCTCAAATAGGCTCAGAAGGGCTAGAACCCAGAGCCGTAAAGCCAGTTTAAAAAAACTTTTCTCAAAGTGTCAAAACACGATTTTTATATAGCAAAAGATGCATTTCTTAAGAATAACATAAAAAGTGTGAATTTAATTATATACATTCTTTAAATTATGTCAGGAGGCCTCATAGATAAAGTTTACATAGGCTTGGACAACGCGCCAGCCGCATTTGATATAAAAAGCCGTTTGCTAGGACCAGTACGTTTTTGCCTTATTTTTTAGTTGTTATTTATATTTTACGGAATATATTATCATTGTTCATGTTTACTTTCAGAATGGCACCAACTTAGAGTACATTCGATCGGAGACAGGTGTTGTAGCTGTTTTAAAAAGTGACAAATTCGAGCCATTGCATTTGGCACTTCATCACACTAGATCAGAAGCTCTTGCGGCAGCGCGGTCATTGGCCCAAAATTTAATAGAGACTATACGAGCAGAGCTAGCACAGTGGAGTGCAGCACAGGCTGGAGGGCCCCCACCGGCCTTGAATGTTCCACCCCCAACATTGACTACGACAGCTGCTCCGCCACCTATTCCACCGCCTGCTGCTACTGTATCACTATCAACCCCTTCGTCATTAGCAACTAGTGCACACTCAACTGTCATCCCTCCAGTTGTTAGTATGGCCCCGGCAAGTACACCTCTTATGACTGTTCGCCAACCCACAGTTTTACAGCTCCTACCGCAACAGCAGTATGTATTAAATCAGGAAAATGGTCAGTTAATTCCTATTGTACAACCTGGAATGCAAGTTTCAAATACTAATTTTACCTCACTGCCGATTGCTCAGCAGTTAAATACAATTCAACAACCAAATTTTGGGCACACACAAATTGTGGACATTTCCAATATGCAGCCAGTGAATGTGACTCAATTAAGACTTAGTGGTGTTCCTTCATCTATGTCTATGATATTACCAAATGGACTTACATTTCCTCAAGCAAGCTTAGCTACAGGAGACTCTACCACTGTGAGCTCAGCTACATCAACACCAGTTGTGTGTGCTGCGCAAAGTACAAGTTCTCAGAAAATATTGTATAGTACAGACAAAGGTGACAAAGAAGTAAAGTATCACATACAAGGAGCTGATACAGTGCAATGGACTGTACCTGGATCACAGACCATGCTCATTCCATATCAACAATTTCAGGAACTAACTTCAAATCAAGCAGGGCTAACAAATTTACAACCTCAACAATTTGTTTCAGTAAGTTTGCATTTTTATGATATATCCCTTGTATATTCATTCATCTATTACAGGAAATATAAGTCCACTGCTAAACATAAGTCTCTCCATAGTTCCTCCAGAGATATTGCCATGATTGTCAGGTTGGCAACTGCAGTTTTTAATTTTTTAGCTATTATTAGATGAGATGCTGTTGCCCATCTCTCTGGTTTGCTTATTGCTTTTTACAACACCCACAGGATGATATGGAGTACTGGATGTTTTTACACTGTCACTACATGGTTAACCACCACTACATGGTGTTTACTTGTTTAAAAATATTGTCGCAAAGGACCATAAATCATATGTGGTAGAGCCATGCTGCAGCTATATTATGGTTGTAGCACAAATGGGTCGGCTTGACCGGGGAAGGACCACACTCACAGAATACCAGCGTTAAAATACCAGCTTAACGCTGCTGTGTTTCGTATGGTGAGTGTAGAGAACCGGAGACCCTCTTTACTGGAAACGAGGCATTCAATCTTAGTCCTCACAGGTGACAACACATCTGCATTTTGATTCGTAATCAAAGATAGATGTAGATGTCTATGGGCCACAGCAACCACTTACCATCAGGTGGACTGTGTGCTCGTTTGTCACCCTAATCCTATAAAAAAAAATGTTAACATAAATTATAATATTTCTGGGACTCAATCGAATTATGAAATTTCATAGTATAAAATATCATCATCATCATCATCATTATAGTCCTTCACAAGTCTACTGCTGAACATAGGCCTATCATAAAATATGTTTAGTACTTTTTTATGAAATCAATACCCAAAGACAAATTCTTATGAATTAACATGTTTAAAATTAAACAAAGTTCATATCAACTGTGTAGTGGTGGTGCACGAATAATTACGACCCCATATCATCCCATAGGTGTGATAAGAGGTGACAGAGTAAAACTAAACCAGGAGATGGACAATAGTATCTTCCTGGTAAAAACTCAAAATAATTATAAAAAGCAGTTGCCAACTTTTGCAAAATCCCTGTCCCTCAGCAATCTATGTTCAGCAATAAACTTTTATAAGCTGCAATGGAAAGCTCATATAGATTCTAAAATTAACTTCATTTGCTCATAATTTTCATTTCCAATAGAAAAGAAAACCTGTAAATTTTACCATGTTTGTTTTTAACTTGCTTGAAAAAAGGAGGGGGTTCTCAATTCGGATGTTTATATAATTTTTATGTAGTATGTTTAGGCATAACTCTGTTATATATAGATAGATTTGCAGATTCGTTTTTTGTTTGAGAGAGGTTTATTCTGAAATGGTCCCATTTTAATTCCGTAAAGATCTGCTTCGGAGTTTCGGAGACAGACAACGGAACTCTTTAATAAATGTCAGCAAATCAACCACGATTGCTGCTATCGCATATCTATGCCTTGTTTATTCAATTACACAACATAACATCAGCCTCTAAAGGTGTTTGAAGATGTGTTCAGTATACCAGGGTACACTCTTATTTCTGTCAAAGTTCTTATATTGAAGTTGGTTGTACAATATTTTTAATTTTACCACTTGTTACAGGAATATATATATTTGAAAATTTCGACTTTCCTGACTTTGTTGATACATATTATGATTTTTGATTAGCCAAATCATTTCTTTTTGATAATTTAAATTATTTATCACTGTGAGCAATATTAAATCTGGGGAATATTCCGTTTTATTTAAAAAGCTGAATACAGTTATTTTATATAACACCTCAGACATTCAATTGTTTTATGGGTCTTTCATTAACAGATCAAAGCAAAATAATAGCAGCAATATGGAAATTTATTTTTCTAATATTGTGTCATTCTAGTTAAGGAATACATTCATTTATGGAACACTTGGTTGGAATGAAGTTCCTTTCGTAGTATATTATTATTAATAAACATATTATATTATTGATTAACAAATACAAATAAATGAATTACCAGCGTCTATTAAAAAAAGCGTCATTTAAAATAAAATAATATTTCTTTCACTGCAAGATAAGAAAAAGTGCGAGGGAGATATATATTATTTCACCTAGCTTCCTTATAGTCGCCAAAGCCATCTACAATTCGTCAGAAGGGGTTGTGATGGAAAAAATCTTAACTTTTTCTTGCCTAGATCTCCCATCCGCCAAATTCGTACCATCTGATAAGGAACTTCGTTCCAATATTAGAATAAAAATATCTTGTATGGTTTTGTTTTACAGATAGCTCCAGCAAGTGGTTTTCAACAAACATCCCTTCCATTATCAGCAACACAGTTGCACCAATTGCAAACAACTGGTACTATAATGCAATTTAATCAAAAGGTATGTTAGACTGTTTGATTATATTATAATATAATATAAATTCTTTTGTTAAGATTATTTGGTACCTCATTTTCAAACAATGTAAGTGGTTAATTTACTTGTTTCAATTATTAGTGTATTAATAAAACATTAATGTTGTTTAGTAATACAAAAGTGTTTTTAAATTTATTTGACTTTTCCTACAGCCCATAGTAAGCAGTGCCTCTCTAATAAATATTATTTCGACTGGACAAGCGTCTTCTCCACAAATTATATCTGTGAGCATTTGTTACAGTTTGTTCATACTAATTCCTTTACACATGCATTCTCTTATTCATGCTACTTACTACTTCTCAGTTACATAGCTCAGTTATTTCTTTTTGTTGTTCATAGACTATCATTAGCTTTCCATTTTTGTTGCTGTTGATATTTCTGTGTTACCTTATTATAATCATCTCACCATCTTTAATTTTTACTATATTTTCCAATTTAGTCATAATTTTTTTTCTTCACATCTTTTCTCATATTTCATATTTCACATATAAATCTCATTAATCACAGTTTTAATTTTTTACCCCAACACAGATAGTGTTTCCCATTTTTTTTTCTTTTCATCATTTTAATGAGTTCTGGTTTCACTTTCATCATTTTGTTACTAACATTGATAATACCTACATTTATCTTTAGTCAAGTATTTAATACTGTGAATGGGAAATGATCCAGGTATTAAATTCAAAATATATTTAATAGGTGTAAAAGACTAAACAGTTAGGTAAATATTTCAGGATTTAAGTTAAACTTTTAAGACCTGTATGTGTTCAGTTACTTAAGTGAAGAACCCTCTGTTACATCTTGTAAAAGGGGGGGAAACGAATGATACTTAAAGATGTTTAAAAAAAATTACATATAATTGTATCTGCCTGTATTTACTTATGATCAAACCAAAAAGATAAAACTAAATTTTTTAAAGTAATGACCATCCATTTTGTTAATAATATCAAAAAATATGATTATTTTCTGTCTATAATATATGCTGAGATAATTGAGATCAAAGTGCGCTCTTTCGCCCGAAATTTTTGACAAAACTGCCGGGCACTGATCGCAGTGGCGATAAGCAATTTCATATATTACCCGCACGTCTCGCTAATATGTACTTATAATAGTTTTTACTGCAAAGTCGTAAAAGATAGTTGTGGGCATTATTTTGCATATTTTGCCCACAAAAAGGTTGATTTCATTGGCAAGAAAATTGTTTTATTTTTTTGACGTTGTTATAGTAATAATAATAATAAAACTTTATTTCTCTACACATTTACAGAGTTAACAAAAAAATAAATATATAGAATTTTTTTCTAATAGAGAAAGTATTTGTTGGTTTATGTAGTCCCTCTTGGGTAAAAGCCTCCTCCAACTTTTTGCATCCATTCTTCTCCTGCTGTGTTAACAATGCTATCCACCCATCTTTGACGTTATTATAATGTTTTAATTAACATTTAACATATATATTTACAACTGCAAAAGCTAAGTAAAAGATGCTATTGTAGATATACTAAAATAATAACTGGAAATATGCTTAAAAAATTTGCTACTCCTTTTAACTGACGATTTCCCTCGATATCACATCGCTAGATTATCATAAATAGTTATATATATTAGTATAAATTCAAAACCAAAAATAAAATTTTTGATGAGAAATTAATTTTTATTTCAGAACTCATCAACACCTACAAAAAACTTAAATCAGGAATCTCGGGGACAAAAGAGACTTTCTGATGGTACTCCTAGTCAATTGCAATTGAGACCTATTGCACCTGCAGGGTAAGCAAGTTACACTATAACTAATTAACTAAACTTTTTTTCAGCCTATTTCAATATAAAACAGATTGCATGTACTAAGTGATAATTAAGTTAAAATAATTAAAGATTAACATTATTAAAAATTAAGTATTACCACAGAATACATAATAGTACAGGTAGTGTTACATTAATAAGAAGCAATTGGCGTTTATGAAGATGTGAAATAGTCTTTAAATACAAAAAGTTACGACCACTGTCCATCTACAAATAAACCTCTTTATCTACAAATTCAAAATTGTTGTGCCATTCTCTCAGTTTAGATTATGTCAGACTATCATTTTTCAATTTTTTTTTTCGTATTTAACTAACCTCAGCAGCAAATGCGTTAAGGTTTTTTACTTGAGAAAGGTTTTTCTTCACTTTGTGTTATGTATAAGTTAAAATGGCAGTTAAAATGTCCGTTGTTTATTTTAATGCCTTAAATAAAATTTATTATTCAGTAAATAAACCTTATATGAAAAAAAACGCTTTATAATCAAATTAAAAAGTGATTGTCTTTGTGTGTGTATTTAAATGATGTGATGATGCAGGTCCCATGTAAGCCAGGACAAGAGTTCAACGAGAGACTCGCGATCCTGGACCAACACAGCAGGTACATTGAAGATTTACAGCTGAAACTATGTCTCACTTTGTATCAGAGAGGATTCACAGAGAAAGTACTAAATCACTACCATACCCTGGGTTCTTGAGGAATTACTTATTAATTATGATTCATTACGCACTCTTCTTTTCTCAGATATAAAGTGTTGCAAGATATTTTTTCTTTACTTATTTTGCTACTGTGGTTTAACTAGCTTCTAACTCGTGTACATGCATATTTGCACAATTTTATCCAGCTTACATCGAATTGGACTGATTGTATGAGTCTTAGTAATAATAGATATTACTTTTATTATAACTTTATTTAATTTTATTTAAACATAATCGAGCTTAGTACAAACAGTGACTAATAATTTGTCTCAGGTTAGAACTAGAATATGTTTCACGAAAGAAGTCCCACGGAAATATACGAACTAAAATATAAAGTATTGAGTTTGATAGAAACTGTTAAATTACGCGATGCATGGACTCCGTGGCTAAGGGATTTCTTTAGTTAGAAAGACTATACTTTAACCAAAGGTTACCCCTTCTGTCAATCAGATAGACATAGAAACCAGAGACTATCAGTAAACCATGTTTTGTACAAAGACGGAATATACTATGCTTATTAATATACATATTTTAGGTAGTATAATGCAGTAGTCAGATCTTGCTTCAATAGTGTTTTATCTTAGAGAGATTACAGAGTTAACATGATTAATATTTTATGTGCATAATAATTCTCTTTTACTTTGGATTTGGGCAACTGTATTATGACAGAGTTTCTGTAGCGCCAATATAGTAAGCATTTGTCTAGTTTTATATTTATTTACATTTGCAACTATTATGTTGTCTATTGAGAGCATACATGTCTTTTAAACCTTAAAACAGTCGTATTTTTATCAATATTGGACGAGTTGGATAAGCATGCAGTAAATAAGCTGTCTGAGGAGGAAACTTATCATAATTTATCCATTATATTATATTGCTATTCAATCATATGATGTAAATATTTTAGTTTTTTTTTTACATTTCACGTACCTATTTCATTAATAACACTTAAGATGCAGCTTAGAGGATCCTGATTTTTTTATATAAATACTTTAGAATAACTTTAAAGTTGACTTTTAGAGAATGCCGTAAGGAATTGATTCCGCCCATTGTAGTCTTTAGTTTAAGGTTTTATAAATATCATCACAGATGCTTACACATACTAGAATGATTAATGCAATAATATTTAAGTTAGCACTATACTGAATTATATAATAATTATTATAAAATATACATTTCTTTTAATTTCAGATATTTTTACAGATGTTCCATATCTTGAAATACAATTATCGAGTTTAAATTTCTTCTATGTGGAGTAAATAATTCCACTTAGAAGTCGTTTGATTTAAAATTTTTTTTCTTTAGTAATGGTCTCGTATAGTTGTACTTTTGCCCGTGTCAAGTATATTAAGAAATTATCGTTTATATTATTTATTGTCAAATCATCTTTACAATATGTTAAGGCGTTATATTGTGAAGTTATTTGGAGATTTTAACAGCTGCTAGAGCCAGCAGCCACAGTCAATGACGATAGTATCTCAAGGCGCCTAAGCAGACCCTTTGTCTTCAGATTCACATCATCATCGGAGCGCTTGTTTCATAATTTCTACTAATAGTTCACATTCACAAATATTTAATACACAAAATTGCATCACTTTTACTTACCAAACAATAACACAGGAGCAGCAGTTCGCCGCCGTTCAATTTCTCACCAAAACACCCAATATTTTATTTTATATGGCTTCATGCATTTACTTTTACTTTTTTACAGTTGCTGCCTAGAAGAAAAGGCAAAGGCAAGGGAATTTTTTTCCCGTGTACTATTATTCTTTTGTGTTTACTCTAGTGTCCATAGTGCTCAAAGTCTGTCGATTGGAAACTCATTACATATTTTTTTGTTTTACAGGTTTTTAGTGTTGGCAATTTGCATGTCACTATTATTACAAACATTTTGATCCCAGTACTTTTACTTTACTCTCAGGATTGCAAATATGTATTATCATAATATTATGTTCTAAGGAGTATTTGTATTTGTTATTGTCTTAATTTTTGAAAGCGTAAACTTTTAATAGCATTTTGCGTCCATGCAAAAGTTTAAGTAGCAATAGGCGTATAAATGGTTTCACTTGCTTTATTTATGCTAGATTGATTAGAAAATTGATTTGTATATAGCAGAGTGAAAAGAAATGATTAGAAAATAATTTTCTCTAGTTGATCCGAACATTTTAAAGGTCAAAAGTTAAAATGAAATGCTTAAGCATAGGAAGAGCTATTATTACAAAAGCATAGATTTATTTTAGTAATAGACTTTTTTTTACTATTTCCCAAATATATAAAATGCAAGAGCGTAATAGAAAAGAAGTATTTTTTTTATTTAGCAAAATAACGTAACTTATGCGAAAAATAAATGAAAAGTGACCCAGTTGTGTGATATATCTCCTGATATAGGTGCATTTGCCGCGTCAATCATAAAATTAATCAAAAATAATCGTCGCTACGCTAAGCCTGGTTGCAATTGGTCTCTTTTCTTAACATTAAGCATAATTTTTTACATTAGTATTTAAACAGGAAAAAAGTCAACAGTACCTGCTGTCCGTTTAGTTTAATGCAGTTTTTCTTTTTAGGTGTTGTGAACGCGTCATCTGCAGTTGTGGTAACACTTTAATCTCATATTAAAACAGTTTATTTTTTAGCATTTCAGTTCAGTTTCTTATCTATGATTATTGTATACTGAACAGCCCTTTTGTCACCTTCGGATAACTAAATTATTCTTGTTTAATTGATTATTTTACAAATTTCTTACAGATTTCTGCCAGTACCTACAGCAAGCAGCACCATTTAAATTCTACAGACATTTAGGCATTTGCAACGCTACTTGATCGTCGACACTTACATTTTTTTTTCAGATGTTTCCCGTATTTTTCTTTCGTGGGGTTTTTTTTCGTTTTAGAATTTCTTCCTTGTTTTGTATGATTATTTATTTAATTTTTTTATGTTTAAAGGATTTCTTCATAAATATTACCGAAAATCTCACCCTGTCATTGTAATTATGTCCGCTTAACATTTGTAAAGCGTCTTATAAACAACTTATATATAGTTCAATCATATAATTTCATTTCACAGCTAGGGACAGCGCCGTTGTCAGTATGGGAATGAAAATCAATCCAGCCCATGGCACAATCATTCATGTCTCTTCTGGACAGCAAACTAAGTAAGATTTTTCTACTTAAACCATCCACAATCCATCCGTCTATCCATTACAGCTTCTAAAAGTCCACTGCTGAATATAATCCTCTCCCACAGATTGCCTCATAGGGGTGCCCCAAGGCATATCCACTGACAGTCCGTGGGTATCGTAAGGAGTGACAAAGGGGTGTGAAACATTTTCCTGATAACAACTTAAAATAATAAAATACTGCGGCTGCAACCTGCTTGCTATGAAAAATGTCCCCCCTATTAGGCAAACTACAGAGGAGCCCTTTGTTCACCAGTGGACTTGTGTTAAACTATTACAGTTTAGATGGATGAATGGAAGATATCTCTCTAATTACATTATGAAATTCAGGCTTATGAAATTTATGTTCAGAAATTGTCATGAATATAAATACTATAACTATAATAAGCATAAAATATGCGCATTCTTTTCTAAAGATTAATAACTATGCGGATAATCATTATGTAACATGAAAGAAGTATTTAACGTATACTTTTTAAATATGTTATGACCTATTTGTATATTCAACAGTGTCTCCGCATCGGGAATTGCACAAGATGGCACCGGCATGTACATAAAGCAAATAGACCGCAACGCTATTCAGATACAGGCATCGAAAGACGGCCAAAAACAAGATCTCTCATCAAACAAAATGCAAAGCACTGCACAAAACGTTCAAATGATAACCGTGCCCCAGGGCATGACTGTGCTACAAAATCCATTAAACCTTGGTCAAATGTCGACCGTCATCGGGCAACCGAATAGCCAGGTCTATATGATTCCTGCAAATCATCCGAATTTAGTCCAGGGATCGTTGCCTCCAGGCTTAATTGGGCAGCAGATGCTGCAGCCAGGGCAAAACGTCACAGTGATGCAGCATAATCAACTCGGCATGCCGGGTGGAGTACAATACAACGTGCCATTGATGCCAATGAACATGCCACCGAATTCGCACTACATGCCGACTGGCATTAATTTGAATACGCAGCTATCAGCTCAGCAGTTGAACGCGGCACTTGCGGGACAACAACTCGCGAATCCCAATTTATCTGTATCTGGCTCTATTCCGATAGTGCAGGCACCACCACCATCTTCGCCGATGACGAATCAACCACAAACTAACCCAGTGTCTCAACCGCCGCCTGTACAACAAATTGTACCACAAAACTCAACGTTCATCACACCTACCTCTCAATACACGGGAATGCCCCCGCAATATATGGTGCAAGCAAATTCCGGCAATTTGTCCGTGCCTGGAAGCAATCCCAATGTTCAGTATTCGTTGTCAACAAATCAATCCAACCCTGCAACACCTACCAATGGCAATGGCCAATTAAGTGCTGGGGTCGACAGTGACAATTCAAATGGGGCTTCAAATCAAACTAGTTACATTTCGTCTTCGTCACAGGACAACAGTTACACGCTATCGAGTACTACAGGTGTGCAGAACCCCGGACAGCAAAATTTCTCAGCTGATGGTACTCCTTCTCAAACGGCTGGATTCACACCTGGGAGTCAATCAGTTAGTCAAAACTATAACACTACTAACGGAAGCAGTGCCCAATCCACAAATTACAATGTTGGCCAATCAAACACGTCGCAACCTCCGGCAAGCTTTAACCCTGCGAATGGATCGAATTCACAAACCAACCAAAACTACGGCGGCACAAATGCACCCAGCTCTCAAAACACATCTCAAACCAACTTTTCGCCATCAACCACACCTGGGCCAAGCCAATCATATTCCAATGCAAATTTACCCAATTTGTCCAATGTGCCATATCCACCAAACCAAAATTCGCAGAACCTGTATCCTAATGCCACTGGGCAAAATTTGGCGGCTTACGCCAATAACCAATATCAGTACAACAGCAGGCCGTGGTTCAGACCTCGATACGGTTCACCACAAAGCTCACCCTATGGCAGCGCTGGAGCCGCGCCCTCTAATGGGCCCCCAATGCCAGTACCTCCGCCTTCGGGAAATTACAACTACTGGCAGGACAGTTGAGACTTTGACAGTTTTCTTGAACATGAAATTATCTTGGAATAAAGTAAACAAATATATTATTATATTATCTAACACGAAAACCCCTGGAGGAAGTTACATAAAAAGTATTTTAGTAGAAATGGTGTTCCAGTGATTTATAATTCTCGGTCTGTATATATAGATAGCCGTAATGACGTAAATAGAAGGAACAATATTTTGTTAATAAAACCTTTGAGGTGTATTGTATATGTATGTGACTGACATTTACTAAGAACAAAATGAATGAACATTTTGGAATGTTGTATTACGCTGATATAAATTTATGTTTTCTTGTGTAGAATTTCTGTTAATAACAATTATGGATATTGTAAGATTAAAGTAAGAAAGACTGCTGAATAATATAGATATATTACATTTATAAAATGTATAAAGAAATGTTTACAAAAATGTCTATCACCGCAAACAAGTCTTTTTATTTTATATAAACTTTTTCTTTTTTGTATAGGAGAGGGGATAAACAAGCATACGGCTCATCTGATAGTAAAGTGACTACCGTCGCTCATGAACATCAGGCGACACCAGGTGAACCAGGGGAATTGCAGGTGTGTTGCCAGCCTTTTAAAAAGGAGTAAGTTCTTTCCTTGAAGGTCCCTAAGTCGTATCGGTCCGGAAAAATCGCCGGTGGTAAACTATTCCACAGAGAGATCGTATGCGGAAGAAAACTCCTAGTGATACATACAGTGGTGGACTGCCAAGCATCCAGATGGTGTGAATGGTATCGGGAGTTTTGCCGCGATGTGGGTTCGTGAAATTTGGCGGCTGGGATTAATCCGAACAATTCCTCAGAGCACTCCCCGTGGTAGATGCGAAAGAAAATGCAAAGGTATGCACATCTCTTCGCAGCGCCAGTGAATCGAGCCGATCGGAAAAGACTTGGTCGTCAACGATTCGAGCCGCTCTGTGCTGGATGCGGTCAAGTGGAATGAGCTGGCACTAGGGAGCCCCAGCCCAGGGATGGGAACAGTATTCCATGTGAGGCCGAACCTGCGCCTTGTAAAGTTGCAGGCGGTGTGCCGGCATGAAATACTGTCCCGCTCTGCTGAGCACGCCAAGTTTTTTAGAGGCCAATTTGGCCTTCTCTTCCAAGTGACCACAAAACTGCACGTCATTCGATATGTCGACGCCGAGGATTCCTATACTGGCTGAGGCAACAAGGGCACTACCCTTGACACTGAGGAGATACGACAAAGGGGTTCTTTTTAGCGGAAAACGCGCAAACTTGTGTCTTCTGGGGTAGATTAGAACTGGACTAGATTTAGTCGACCCCAATCCGAGACTTTGTTCAGCAAAGACTACTTCAGACACAAGTTTGTCCCGGTACTCGGCGACGTTTTCCCGAAAAACAATTGGCACGGCCGGCATATAAGGCATCACCAGTGCTGCCTTCTGCATAGCAATGAATGTTACCAGTTTGCAACATATCATTAATATGCAGGAGAAACAGCGTTGGTGATAGCACGCAGCCTTGTGGAACACCAGCGTTAATAGGCTTGAAATTAGAGCATACACCGTCTACTACGACCTTGATGCTCCGATCAGCAAGGAAACTGGTGATCCAATGCACAATTTCTCGGGAAGCCCATAAGAAGGGAGCTTTGAAAGAAGCGCTTTGTACCAAACCCGATCGAAGGCCTTCGCGATATCCAAACTAACGGCCAATGCCTCCCTCCCCCTTAGACTCTACTACCACCGCCCATCTATGAGTCAGGTAGACCAGAAGATCACCAGCTGATCGACCCAGAGGAAAACCGTATTGGCGGTCACTAATCAGCTGGTGATCCTCAAGGTACCGCATGAGCTGGCACCTGGCTATTTTGGAGAACAAGGAGGTGAAGGTGATAGGCTAGACGGGTCTGAGCGGTCGCCTTTTTTTAGGGATCGGGTGGACGAAAGCAGTCTTCCATTGATCAGTCAGGTCATTCTTCGATTGTGGATATCCAGGAGTGCTTTGCGAAGCGCTGTGTGAACCGCACATCTGGCATGGAGCACTCACACCGCGAGATGGTTGGCAGTGTGTTCCCCCCACCCCCCGTCGTCGATAGTTGAGTTGGACGCAAAAAACAGCCTAGCAGATTGGCTTTCTCCTTTGCGGCATGGGCTAGTGAGTCGTCCTCCCTGTGCAGAGATGGAAGAGATGGCTGACAGAAGTTCCCTTGGACAGCCTTGGCGAAAGACCAGAATGCACGGGTTCCCGAAGGAAGGCCAACTAGTTTCTCGCTAATTCTGTATATGTGCTCTGACTTTGCCAATGACCTTTGGCAATGAATCTTTTGGAGGACCTGGAGGTGAAAATATACTTCTTTTTAAGGGCGCTGGTGTTTACATCCCGGGACGTTGATGCGTCAGCCCAGGCCCGGTAGCACTGCTGCTTATAGCGTGATGCTATTTTACAAGAGCAATTAAACCATGGCTTAGATCTGCCGCCGATGAACCACGATTTCACCGTCAATAGCACCACACTCCGGACTAGACGATGGTCTGAGGAGCCAAAAGGGGCGTCGACGGAGACTTGATATCTGTCCCGTTGAGAGGTCAGCATAAGGTCCAACAGGGAAGGTACATGATCCTCCACATCTGGAATCCGCGTTGGCGAAGACTCATTTACGTCAGACTATATGCCAAGGCAAAATCACGAATAGATCTCCCCGCATGATCGGTTAAACGTGAACCGAGCCATTCGGCGTGGTGGGCGTTAAAATCGCCAAGGATAACAATCTCTGCGGATGGGATCTGCTGTAGCAAGAAATCTGTAGCCATTTGGACGTGGTCGATGAGTCGGTCTGTTTCGGCATTACCGCTATGGGACCTATTGAGGCACCCGTAGACGCACAGATGGTCGTCGCTGTCTACGCGTTACCAAAGGATGGACTGATCCGAACCTTCAAGACTGCCGAGGCGTCGAGAACAAATGTCCTCTCTGACGTACACTCAAACTCCAGCCCGAGGCACAAAGGAGTGTTCCAATTTGCACCCCGGGTAGGAGAGATACGAAGTATCAGCTGCAGAGGACACCTGCGTCTCGGTCAGAAAGAGTTCCTGCGTAACATGTTATACTCGTACTGCTTGAACGAGTGGTAGGAGTTTTAACACTTTAATTTTCTACTCTCACTCCTAGCGTAGATGATGAATGCTAATTATACAGCGAAATCAAACAATTTTATTTTGTAGAAGAGTTTATATTATATGTCGGAGATAGATGGTAACAAGCGACGTGCGGGTTTTTTCCGGCTCGGTAACAGTGATACTGTCCATTGTAATAATTTCGCTAGGAAAGACAGACAAGACTACCTACTCCATGGTGAAGCTGACCAGCGTACATCGATAAGCAATGTAGCTGTTTCCATTCATTTGCAGTGACAGTGATTTGCATACATTTGATACCGGTTTTTGAGGTAGTATAGGTACTTACAATTTAAATGCGAAGTTATACACTGGTGGGATTCGACTCGACTATACGTAAGAATATTTCCTAGAATATACCCCTACCCTATCGTCCCGTGGCATACGGCATATGGCAAGATATTTGGGGAGGCTTATGTTCCTCAGTGGACTTTTGATAAGCTCTAACGGTAGTTACGGTATCGGTGGGATAGGCTAGTCGGTAGAAATCATACTCTTCTGTTGTGTTATATTTATTCATTTAGATAACATTTTGTGACAAATGTGATATGAATATAAAACCTATATCGGCTTCTCGGAAACCAAACAAATTCAACCATTATACTGCGAACATAAGCATTATACATAATTTTAAGGGTATTAATATCTTTAAAAGGCTTGCAAGTTCTCATCACAAATCCAAGATTTTTAAAAGCCTTGTTAACAATTTCGTCAACATGCTCTTATAAAAGCATTCTACTGTCAAAGTGAATTCCTAAATCTCTAACTAAACGTAGTGATTATATTCTCTTTGTCTCTAACAGTTGGGATGAGATGTTCTTTGTATTGGAATACCGTTAAAATTGTAGGAGAATGAAATAGGGGTTTTTTTACGTGTGAAGCTAATACATTCGCATTTATCAATATTAATTGTTATGTTGTTAGCAGTATAATCTATACATATAATAAAACTGTAAATAGCAGATGTCTGTACATTTTATATTTTTGTAATAAAATTGATTGCGAGATATTAAAAATAAGTAATTAAATACATTTTTACCATTTTTAGAATTTTCTGTCTGTCTGTCTGTTTGTTTGTTAACGTATCACGTATAAAGTACTAATTTATATCATAAGAATTGTTAAAAAAATTATAAAGTGTATCTTCGGGTTACATTTAGTCTTTATTTCATTAAAATCAGTTCATTCCATCAAAAGTTATGATAAATATTCTGAAATATGGGTAGGGAAGTATAGGTACGAATTTGCTCAACGGTGGCTTTGTTTGAGTCATCAAATGCATTTTAAACTAATATCATATCATAAATCATAGTTAAATTATGTAAAATAATGATATAATTATGTATATCTAAAACGCAGTAAACAAAAGTATTAAAGAACGTATTAAATATATTATACAAAAATATATTAACCTTATTAACTAAATCTGAAGCACAATAGTTAACCCATTTCTTCGATAGATGGTGGTGTTGTGAAAATGTAATGCAATTGCAATGTGTTTTTTTCCTGTAGATGAGTTTTCATATTTACTGCTAATCTTTATTATATTACTCGCTGCCCAACTGCGTGTTGACAAACTCAATTTATTCTTTACCGCCGAGTACTCTATGTGGTAAATCAAATTTTAAAAGAGCTATTAACAATTGCGTTGGGTTTGGCGAGTGTCAAACTTTAGTTTTTGCTTACTGTGCAGGCACTAATTTATAAGTTCTTTTACGTTTTATATAATGTATCAATCGCGTCAATTAATCTCTTTTATTATTAGAATTGATGTTAGCAGCGCCATCTCTCTATATACATATAATAAAAATGATGATAACATGTTGTGTCTCTTTCTGTACATTGTATATAATATATTTTGGTGGCTAAAATCATTATGGGGAACTGAAAATAATTAAATAAGTACATTTTTATAATTTTTAGAATTGTCTGTCTGTCTGTTTGTCTGTTTTTATATGAACGCATCACGTCTAAAGTAAACTAAACATCTTTTTTTCAAAGAAATATTTAAGAAAATCATAAAGCGGATCTTCGAGTTACATTTAATCTTTGTTTTATTAAAATTGGTTAATTCTATTGAATGTAATGATTATTATTTTGAAATGTAGGTTCGAATTTGTTCAATGGCGCCATAAAATCTCAGAAATAGTAACAAAAAGATTTGTGTGTAAAAAAAACGTTCCATAATAATTAATATATTTATACTTAAAACACAAAAAGAGATTTAAAAAAGGATGTTTTCTCTCACAAAGGACGTAATAGATGGAGTTGTACAAATTACAACCTTTTCTGAATTGCTGGGTTGAGATTTTTCGCCGATGAATCGTATTGAGACTTACTGAAGAAATTCGTATCTATCGAAGCCATACAACGGAACCCGACCAAAAATAACAAAATTGCAACGAAATGTCGTGATATTGTATTTATAATATACGCAAAATCAGTACTGCCATTTTAGCGCTTTGGGAACTAGATTTAGCGCTTTTTTGGAATGTATAGTGCGCATTTCGAAATTTTAGCACCTAGCGCTTAATCCAGCGCTTTTTGGTGTATTTAGCACACATTTCAAAATTGTAGCGACTAGCGGGTTATTAACTCTTTTATAGCAGCATTGTTAGTCCACATTACCGATAATAATAATAATGACCTTTATTATTTTTTCCCACAAATAGTACATAGCAGTTTATCTTTTTCAAACATATTTTTTCCACAAAACAAAGAGCATGGGAGACGAGTCCAAACTAGGATACCCTGTGCTATGGATCTCCCGGCTTCCCCTTTAGGATGATGAACTTGATTTTTTTTACCGAGGACTATTAGCGGGGAAATCCCCTTTGTTAAAGTTTTCGGTCATGGTTTTGGTAACGCATTTATTTTGCTTTATTCTGTTTCAGTCAGTTGTTTAGAGCATAGCTAAGTTAAAAGTTACTCAGAAGTTATGACACAAAGAATCTGTGTAGCAACCGCAATCAGATGCTGACATCTGAAACTAAGTTGCGAAATACATTGCACTTTAAAACAATTAATGACATTTTTATTGTTCGTACAGTACTAACTACTGTTGACAGCTATTGCCATAATTATAAGTCGATGTCCTGCGAAGTATTGATACATCAAAAAAATATTGCCAGAAAAAACTTAATGTTGTTTTATTTATTATGATTATATTTTCTTGAATTATAAATTATAATAAAAAACACAAACTTTGTTTGTAGTTAATTTAGCGCGAAATCTAGGACTTTTTTAAAGCGCTATTTTCATGAAATCTAGCGCTTTTTGTGTTGTCCTAGCGCTGAAAGAGTTTTTTTGATCTGGCAGCACTGCCCAAAAACCATCTATTGAGAAGTAATTTTCCTTTCAGTTTTAAGCGCGTTCAATTCCCAGTTACACTCAGCGTGTGTTATGCGATGACCATAAATAAAGCGCAAGGTCAAACTTTACGCGTTGTAGGAGTGCACCTCAGTACTGACTGTTTTGCACATTGCCAACTCTATGTTGCTTTTTCCCGCGTTAATAGCCCCCGTAACCTTTTTGTGTACACCCGGCTAAGCCTACTTCTAACGTCGTTTACACTGAAGCTCTATCATAAACTTTGAATCAAGAACTTTGATGATAATGATTTATTTTGTTACCACTTATTGATACAGTAATGATATAAATCGTTTAATATTCTCTTACCTAAACGACAAATTCTTTATATAAAACCTATATACGCGAGCTACGCCGCGGGCACAGCTAGTAAGCTAATAAAGCGCTTAAATCAGTTTGCATTTGATGACAGTCCTGCTCAGTACGGATATTGTAATTTTTTTTGTCATCGGCGTACATTAAATGTTGTGAAAATTTAAAACTAGTAGTAATGTCGTGGATATATGTGTTATACAGTAAAGGCCCCAGATATGATCCTTGAGGAATGCCTGTTGGTATTTCGATAAAGTCCGATCTATATCCACCTATTACAACAGCCTTGGATCTGTTACTCGAATAGGATTTAATCAACCTGAGTCCCCATGTATGCTTAACAATTGTAGTTTATTCAGTAAAATGACATGGTCCACACGGTCGAAAGCTTTTTCGAACTCTGTGTAGACCATGTCTACCTGACCGCCTCCATCCATATTAGATAAAACATAGTTAGAAAAGCACGCCAGATTAGTGATAGTAGAACGATACCTTAGTGTTTGGCAGTCCCTTACATGTTACGGAATATATAACATCATAAACGGTTTTCTCAAAAACTTTGCCAAATAGTATTTAAAATTGAAATGCCCCTATAATTTTCAATTTTAGTTTTAGTTCCCTTTTATGTACAGGAACAATGTGTGCTCTTTTCCAGACATCCGGAAATACACCTTCGCTAAGAAACATATTAAGATGATAGCGATAGGGACACACAAAGTTTCAGCACAGTTACGCCAAAATAAAGGTGAAATGCCGTCACATCCTGCTCCTTTAGAAATATCAAGTAGTCTAAACTTCGATCTTACTGCTCCCAATAACTACCGGCATAAGTGTGACATGGACGTTACACATGATCTTTGTTATGTCCATGTTTACCTTAAGACTTATCCGTTGAGGTCATTGAGCATAGTGCTTAGGTCCTCCAGCGATTCGGCCATAAGGACTATGATATCGTTGGCAAATCGAAGGTGAGTGATGTACTCGCTATTGATGTTAATACCGTATCCTTTCGCTTAATGCAGCTAGTTTTAGGTAATTATCTATGGAGTTGTAACGAAATTTTTACTGAACTAAGTGCATTTTATAAGTTGGTCGCCTATTACTCGTTAACTTAAACATCATTATATATACTACTATTGTGTATACTTTTCACATTTCCAAAAACAGTGGTTTAGTTGGTAGAAGTGGGTGGGGCACATGACTGTGTGGCGGCGCTGTCGTCGCGCCACAAGTGAAACACATCGAAGCCTAAATCGCGCTAACAAAGTTCCGAAATTAAAACAGCATAATATATAGGGCCAGCGCTCCCGGTGATTTGTGATTTGTAGTGAGGTGAGTTTACGTAAATAATTTTTTGTAAATACTTGTTGAAATACTCGTCAAAATAGTTTTTGTTTAGTGTTTAGTATATTTAATTGTAGTGTGGCGGCGCTGTCGTCGCGCCACAAGCGAAAACACGTCGAAGTCTAAATCGCGCTAACAAAGTTCCGAAATTAAAGCAGCATATATAGAATAGCTCCGAACTACCAATCGGAGCGTTGGCCGCTCCCCGGGCAGAACACCTTGCCCGACGGGAGATCTCCCCTTTTCCTTCCACCGCCACAGTGGTGACCCCGACGTGATACGACGCAACCAACAAACCTTCGGAAACTACACCTTCAAACCTTCATCATCCTCAAGTGCCCTATTCATTCGCTCCCGAGCTGATATTGTCTGCAGTCTTCACATTCTGCAAGCCATCTAGCTTTACAAAGGTTCATCGCAGCACTGGAATAATAATGCTTCCTGTTCCTTCAAGCAACTCTCTGCGCGACAGTATTCGGCACGGCTCTGAGTCTTACTGCTAGGCTCTGCTTCACGGCACTTTCGCAGATTACTTGCCTTCTTCTCGACTCACCGCAGACGTACAAGGCAATTCCCTGGCACTTGCAAATTCGTCGACATCTAGACTGCACTATCGACCTCCGGTCTGAGCAGGGGGGTGATGTGGCGGCGCTGTCGTCGCGCCACAAGCGAAAACACGTCGAAGGAACAGATAAAGCTGTGCCAAGAGATTGATCGATAGCACTGACCTTGTATGCCGATGTTAATTGGGGATTAATTTCATGAAGTTTATCGGCTAAATCTCCAAGATCTTCCAGAGAAGCTTGCTTTTGAGCAACTAAAATGCCCTGCACTTGATGAGGCAGCCTACTCATCCATATAGATTTCAGCAGTTGGTCTGGAAATGATGAGCCTGCAAGTGTTTTAAGATGTCAAGGATGATGGCTTCCTGTCGCCTATCTCCTCTTTTTCTAACACTCTTCTAACCTTTTCATCATAGGACTCTGAAAATCGTGTAAATAGTGCATTTTTTAACGTCGAATATGGCTGTGTCTTTGGTGGATCAGTAATGATGTCCTCCACTTCTACTGCCCACTTGGTGTCTAGTTGGGATATAGCATAAAAGTATCTAGTGGTTTCTTGTGTAACACCATTTATGTGGAATTGGGCTTCGAGACCAGCAAACCAAAGTGCGGGACGGTCAGGCAAGAAAGGAGGAGTATTAGCGGTTGCTGGGGTCACAGGAGTAGTAGTTTGTTTGCCTGATTCATTATTTTCAATGTAAGCCGGCTTCACACGATCAATGCCTACAGTGACCTTTCTACCATTGACGTCTAAGGTCAGCGTTTTGTCTCTTCTCTGAAGAACTGCGTGAGGACCCGTATACGGTGGTTGTAGAGGGCGCCTTACTGCATCATCACGAAGGAAAACGTGAGTAGCCGATGCGAGATCCTTTAAAATAAATGTAGACGGCCGCGTGTGGTGAGATGCAGAAATTGGACGTAATATTTTCATTTTCCTTTTTAAATCTGCTATGTAGTCCATTACGTCTGCAGGATTATTTGTAAATCTTTGAGGTGCGATTAGCTTACCTGGTAAACGCAGCAGTTCTCCATACACCAGTTCTGCTGCCGAGGTTTTTATATCCTCCTTGAGAGTGCTTCTCATTCCTAGAAGGACGAGCGGTAATGCTTTCGTCCAAGTATTAGAATGACACATTAGCGCAGCCATTAATTGTCGATGCATCCTTTCGACCATGCCATTGGCACATGGATGGTAACCAGTGGTTCGAATACGTTTCGTTACGCAGAGATTCATTAGACGCAAGAACAATGCAGATTAGAACTGTCTTCCTTGGTCAGTGGTCACAATATTGGGTACTCCAAAACGCGATATCCAGCCTGCAACAAAAGTTTATCCAACTTCTTCAGCAGTTATTGATGTTATAGGCCATGCTTCCGGCCATCGCGTGAACCTGTCGATCGCAGTAAGACAATAGGTGTAACCGTGTGAATGTGCAAGCGGCCCTACGATATCAATATGTACATGCCTAAACCTTCCAGAAGGACCGTTGAAATGACCAGTGGGTGAAATTATATGGCGCGTCACTTTACTACGCTGGCAGTTTAGACATGAGCGAGCCCACACACGGCATTCCTTTTTCATATCTGGCCAGCTCCGACACTAATTTAACTGTAGCTCGAACGCCAGGGTGACTTAAGTTGTGCAATTTATTAAAAGCAGCACGACGAAAAGGATGTGTGAGAAATGGTCTTGATCGGCCAGTCGAGGTGTCGCATATGACTGTTACCGAAGTGCCCGGGATGGTGACTTTTTCTAGTCTCAGTGATGAATTCTTCTCATGTTTCTTTAATTCTGGATCCCCTTCTTGAGAAACTGATAATGCTATATAGTCCTCTTCGAGGGATATCGACTCGATTCGAGACATTGTGTCTGCCACGATGTTGTTATCTCCCTTTATGTGTTTGATATCAGTCGAAAATAAAATAATATAAAAGACAACTGATTTAGCTGTGTGGAAGGTAATTTCTCTCGGCGCTGAATGAAAGCGTACACCAAAGGTGGTTATGGTCGCTATATATCGTCGCATGTTGGACTTCTAATATATACCTAAAATGTTGTACACTCTCATACACAGCAAGGAGTTCGCGGTAATACGCCATTCCGACTGTTTAGCAGTTAATTTCTTGCTAAAATAAGCGAGAGGATGCCAATCGTCTCCTTCTTTTTTCTGCTGAAGACATGCACCTATGTGGGTATTTGAGGCATCCGTAAAAAGACCTAACTCTGCGTTGCAATCCGGGTGTACTAGGACAGTTGCTTGGGAGAGGCTCCTTTTGCAGTCTTCAAAACTTTCCTCCAGCTTAGATGTCTATGGGAATGGTTTAGCACTTTTGCTGTTTGTAGAGGTCACAGCATCGATATATGGTGTTTGGCTGCGTTGGGTAGAAAACGTCGTCCCCAAGAATCTTCGCATGCCTTGCACTGTTTTAGGCGGTGGGGATTCCACTAAGGCACGGATTCTTTCTTCGGGTGGTCGTGTACCTGTTGCGCTGATCTTATAGCCTAAAAATGTTACTTCTTCTGCACCGAAGATGCATTTGCTTGGATTGATAACGACGCCGTATTCGTGTAGTCTTTGGAACAATGCCCTTAAATGCTGCTCATGTTGATCTCAGTCTCTTGAGTATACGAGTATATCATCAACATACGCAAAACAGAAATCGAGTCCACGCACACTTCGTCTATAAACCTTTGAAATGTCTGTCCAGCGTTCCGAAGTCCAAAGGTCATGTAAGGGAACTCAAATAGAACGAAGGGAGTTATTATAGCGGTTTTGCACACATCAGTAGTATTGACAGGTATCTGCTGATATGCCTTTACAAGATCGATGGTGCTAAAAATGCTGGATCCTGCTAAGTTCTGGCAAAAATATCGATCTAGAATGGTCCTAGCATTCAGAGCACGGTAGTCTCCGCAAGGACGCCAGGTGGAATCCTTTTTCAGTGCTAAGTGTAGTGGTGACGCCCATGAGCTGCTGGATGGTCTTGCTGTTCCTACACCAACCATCTCCTCAAATTCTTTTTTCGCAGCAAGAAGTTTTTGAGGTGCCAGGCGACGTGCGCGAGCAGTAACCGGAGGACCGTCAGTGGTATTAATATAGTGCACTGTAGAATGCTTCAAATTTCGAGGTGCTCCTGGAGGTCTCCAGATGCTAGGAAATTCTGCTAAAACATTGGCGAACGGCGAGTCAGAAAGCGCAACCACTTTAAGACCTGACTTGTTGTTGGTCAAGACTTGAAATAACAGCGGGAGCAGACAGTCCAGTCTTCCCATCCCGTAGTTTACCTTCGGAGCAGTCTGGCAATAAATGGTAATATGCCAGAAAGTCAGATCCGATGATACCAGTAGCGACATCTGCAATAAAGAAACTCCATTCAAAATCTCTTCTTAGACCTAAGTCTAAGCTTAGTTGTACTAGGCCATAAGTTTTTATATTGGTGCCGTTTGCTGCAATTAGTTCATATGGTTGCGGCTGTTTCGGACCTTGCACATGTTGTCGAGGTATGCAACATAAGTCTGAACCTGTGTCAATCAGGAATCGATGCTTGGTGCAGCGGTCTTTAGCGAAAAGACGGCGACCTTTTATGGGGCAATCAGTACGCGCCGCATTTACTGATTGCTGCTGGAGTTTCCCTGATTTGGACCATTTGGTGCTTGCCAGGAACATGGCTGTATTCATCTGTGGGCTTTGGATGAAAATCTATTGTGATACCAACAGAGCTGCTTATCCCTCGTTCTAGACTGTGGCAGTAGGAAGGAAAAGGGGAGATCTCCCGCCGGGCAAGGTGTTCTGCCCGGGGAGCGGCCAACGCTCCGATTGATAGTTCGGAGCTATTCTATATATGCTGCTTTAACTTCGGAACTTTGTTAGTGCGATTTAGGCTTCGATGTGTTTCACTTGTGGCGCGACGACAGCGCCGCCACATCACCCCCACGTCGATAGTGCAGTCTAGATGTCGACGAATTCGCAAGTGCCAGGGGTTGCCTTGTAGTCTGCGGTGAGTCGAGAAGAAGGCAAGTGATCTGCGAGAGTGCCGTGAATCAGAGGCGAGCAGTAAGGCTCAGAGCCGTGCCGAACACTGATCTCCCCTTTTCCTTCCACCGCCACAGTAGGATAAATTAGTTGAAAAAGTTATAATGTAATTTAAGAATATATATAATATATATATATATATATATATATATATATATATATATATATATATATATATATATATATATATATATATATATATATTACATAACTATTAGATAAATTATAATGGCAAAACGCCGTTCCTACTATAATTATTGCGTGGATAGATGCTTAATGAGCGAATAAAAGAATTCAGATATATGTTTTTAAGTTACCGAAGGATAATTAAAGGTGAATTTATTTCATTTTTTTTTTAGATTGGTACATATAGCGAAAAAATAATTAAGTAATAATTTAACTACAGAAGTAACACCTAAGTACTTTATTACAAAACATAATGGAAATTTACTTCACTACTCAAGTACCTACTTACATACCTATACTCGTCTTTGTAATTAAAATATTTTAAGTTATAATAGCAAAAAATACTGAAATTAAAACTTTGTTTACAAGATTTTCAACTAAATAGATCACGATCATATTTCTGTTAGGAATCGTATTTCGGGTTTATTTGTTGTTTTCGCTATGTATCTACCTAATGGAATGACCTTGCAAGTTGCATGCGTTGGGCATCACAGAACTCACATAGTAGATAATATGGTCGATTATAGTCAGCATAGGTACTTTACCTAAGTAACTTACCATTTCACAATGTATTTTTTTACTCTTTATTAACAGCCCTTAGCAACCACGGAAAGTCCGTTGTGACGTAGTAAGGAAAAAAGATGCCAAGTAATACAATAGACAGACATACACAATAGACATACAATAGACACTAGCTCGCAGCGATAAAGTTTTATTTAGCTTGCGTGCGCGATTTATCTGATTAATAATAACTATGTGGGCTATTAAAACGTCGGCAAGCAGTCAACATCAAAAGAGTGCAACTTCTGTACGTAGTACTATTATTTATTCTGTGACGTTGGTAATGAAATGGGCGATATCCAGAAGAATTCAGTAGTATCCAAACGTACTGGCTAACTCTGAACTCGATCTTCCTTATAATATTGTTGTTCGCGCCAAACGCTAATTTCAGGAACTAACGCCAGGGGGCGCTCGGCGCGGTGCATTCGTACCGGTTTGACGTTCGCGCGAGAGAGTTAATTCCTACCGGCGGCGGGGTCGAGTCGAACAGTTGCTATAATACTGTGCGATCGAGAACACGTTTAAGGACGCCCGGGAAACCTCCATTTTGGAGTCGGTTTTGTTAGCAGACGTTGCCACGACGAAGGTTTCTTTGTTAAGTCTAGAATTCGACGCCGGGCTGACAAATTGTTAGGAAGTTAACATTGACTGCGATCAAAGTCTGAATTGCGTGTTAGGTGCGCCTAATTTACCGCGAATTTGGTTATTCTAATTTGATAGCGTATATAAGTGATTTGACAATATTAATTGCTCGTGCGGTGTGTTACGTTTTTGCTTATAGTAACGGGATTTCGTATAGACCGACATTCTGTATTTGTTTTGGGTGTTACGCTTTATAACAAATTAGAGTTAGTGGCTTCTGTAAGTTAGTTAATCGTACGATAGAGTTAATCGACTGTCATCGTGTCGAACGAAGAAAGTGACTGTGGACGGCGCCACGGAAGATTACCTCATTTTGGAGCAGCCTGGAACTCGGCCGCTGCTGGTCGCCTATGCTTGCCAAGGCCCCACACATTCACACCTCACTGTACACTACTCGCCATCCACTATTACACACACTCACGGCCTGCCCAAGCCTTGGTGCGAAGTTAGCTTCGGATAATGGTAAGTACTATGTGTTTCTAGCTTTCTCCCATATAGTTTATTGTGATAGGAAATTCCACGTGGCCATATTCTGGCCCCGTCCCTCTGCTGCCCGTCGATGGGATTACTCATGGGCCCTAATCCCGTCACCTTGGTTGGGGCAGCTAGGGGCGTGTACAATTGTAGTCTTTGACTTGATCACTGTTTTCGTCAGCCCAGCTTATTACTGAATGGCCATCTCTAGCATTTCCATGTGACGGAGTGGTGAACTGTCCAAAGTCTAACAGCCTTTGGTTAGCTGCAAAATTGGTGGTACACGTGCGTTAATTCCTTGTCTTTGCAAACACTATAAACACTGTAATATTACACCATTTCATAGTACCCGCGGTTCGAATATTTTTGTTATGTCATTGGTAACAAAGCATACGTAATGAGGTCACGGCTCACGGTCAACACTGTCAGCTGTTGCCTTGGTTGGGCGAGCGGACGCAGGTGCTTAGCGATGTAACGGTAAATAAAAAAAAGAGCGGGGGAGATGCGCTACAAGGTACCCTTACGAATGTTTGCGTGCATAAAATAGTTAACGTTACATATTTAAGAATGGAAGTCAGTTAAAATAATGCATTACCCCGTGTTTTGAATTTAAGAGATAATAATGACAGAATTTTTGAGATTTTTTTTAATTAATTTTTCTTCACCATTTGCCTATATTACTAATACTGAACCTTCTCTGCAAATTTGGCCGGTAATATGTCAAATAATATTATCAACAACATATATAAATTGCAGCATTATTGAAATAACGTTTTTTTTATAATATATGGGTGACAAACGAGCACACAGTCCACCTGATGGTAAGTGGCTCATAGACATATGTACATCTATCCACGTTTGCGAATCAAAATGCAGATGCGTTGTCACCCGTGAGAACTAAGATGGAATGCCTCGTTTCCAGTAAAAAGGTTATTTTTTCAGTAACTATTGAATATTTCAAAATGTCAAAGCGGCAGACTTATTACTTTCATGTTTTTTTCGCATTGAAGTCAAAGACGTATTAAAAAAGATAGACAGGTTACCCACTAACATTATTGTACTTTAAAGTGGCGCAGGTAGTTCTATATCTATAGTACAGTTATTTATTATGACACGTTGCGCTAACAAAAAGAGACAAATGATAGGGCATACCTATCGTTAGAAAAAGATGAATATAAATCATTAGTTGCGTATTGATTGCTGCCGAGCGCTCATTGGCGCAAGCGCGTGACATACCGATATGGAAAATGAACACACTAGCTAGCGTCAAAGTTTACACCAGCGGTTAGTGTTGAAATAATAAAACCAATTATGAACAAAACATCTATATTCAAAATATTAGTAAAACGTTTTTCTTGTCTCTAACATTTGCCATGTAATTTGTGCACCGCTTAAAAACACAGGAAGGTATTTTTGCCACGAATAATTAGAAGATATACGCGCTGTAGCGAAGGTATAGTCGCGACGCGAGTGCGTGCCCGACTGAATGCGAGTCGGGCAATTACCTTACTTTCTTATTGCCATTTTAGAGCGAGTATAACGTATCTACCTTTATAAAAACATCTTAGATTGAAGTAATATGAACTTACGTAGGTACTTTTTTCGGTCATTTTTTACACATTTCACACCTGAGCGTCTCTATATCAACCGCCGGTCAAACTAGAGTTTCCATGTCATGTACCTCAGGTATAGTGGATTAATTTAAAAAAAAACGTGAAGCTTATTAAAATATAGTAAGTCTGCCGCTCACTGGCTCTTGAACTATTATTACCATTAGTAGTCTTAAAAAAATCACAACTGTCATTCTTAAGTCATAAAAACGCCTCACGACAACACAGTGAAATTAATTGGATCGGAATGAATATTGATAATCGCTACCCTGTTACTGCATCGTTGTTCATGCTTAGAGAAATAAAACAGCGTCAGGAAAAAGTTAATCGAGGGTACCAGCTATTAAAGCGAAAAACGGAAGCACTTCGTATCAGAGGCAGGCAAGCGGCAATAGAACTGTCCGCTACACAAGCTGTGTTGGGCCACACTTTGAAAGAGGCTTATATATCATTGGCAGCTATTAAATTTACCAATGGGGAGTCTAATGCATTAGTGCTCGAAAATGTAGGCCAGGTAAGCTTTTGCATTTCATTTTTACTCTTTATTCATTTATGTAGGTATACTTTAGTGACTTTTACAGATTTCGTACACTTGTTTTTTTTTTATATAGAGTAATGGAAAGAAATGAACACACAGTCCACCTGATTGTAATTGATTCTGTGGGCCATAAACATCTGCATCTGTTCTAAGGACTAAGATGGTATATATATATCAAAATACACCCTTTGTCACGGTTGTCACCTCTGAAGACTTAGATGGAATGACT